ATCATATTTTTTACTACCTTTAAAGTTATATATTTTTATGCAGATAAGAACATAATCATTCCACAAGCCCATAGAGGTATGCCATATCGAAATCCGAGTCCTTTTGACCAAGTTATGGGCTTTAAAGATGGGAAGAAGGCCCATTTCAGTAAACCTTTGCAAAATTAAAATCAATGACATAAAAACGGTCATATTTTTCACTACTTTTAAAGTAATATATTTTAGTGCAGATAACAACATAATCATTCCACAAGCCCATAAAGGTATGCCATATCGAAATCCGAGTCCTTTTGACCAGGTTATGGGCTTTAAAGATGGGAAGAAGGCCCATTTCAGTAAACCTTTGCAAAATTAAAATCAATGACATAAGAACGGTCATATTTTTTACTACCTTTAAAGTAATATATTTTAATGCAGATAACAACATAATCATTCCACAAGCCCATAGAGGTAAGCCATATCGAAATCCGAGTCCTTTTGACCAAGTTATGGGCTTTTAAAGATGTAAAAAAGGCTTATTTCTGTAAACCTTCGCAAAATTAACATCAATGACATAAATACGATCATATTTTTTACTACCTTTAAAGTTATATATTTTTATGCAGATAAGAACATAATCATTCCACAAGCCCATAGAGGTATGCCATATCGAAATCCGAGTCCTTTTGACCAAGTTATGGGCTTTAAAGATGGGAAGAAGGCCCATTTCAGTAAACCTTTGCAAAATTAAAATCAATGACATAAAAACGGTCATATTTTTCACTACTTTTAAAGTAATATATTTTAGTGCAGATAACAACATAATCATTCCACAAGCCCATAAAGGTATGCCATATCGAAATCCGAGTCCTTTTGACCAGGTTATGGGCTTTAAAGATGGGAAGAAGGCCCATTTCAGTAAACCTTTGCAAAATTAAAATCAATGACATAAGAACGGTCATATTTTTTACTACCTTTAAAGTAATATATTTTAATGCAGATAACAACATAATCATTCCACAAGCCCATAGAGGTAAGCCATATCGAAATCCGAGTCCTTTTGACCAAGTTATGGGCTTTTAAAGATGTAAAAAAGGCATTTCTGTAACCTTCCAAAATTAAAATCAATGAATAAAAACGATCATATTTTTATACCTTTAAAGTTATAATTTTTATGCAGATAAGAACATAATCATTCCACAAGCCCATAGAGGTATGCCATATCGAAATCCAGTCCTTTTGACCAAGTTATGGGCTTTAAAGATGGGAAGAAGGCCCATTTCAGTAAACCTTTGCAAAATTAAAATCAATGACATAAAAACGGTCATATTTTTACTACTTTAAAGTAATATATTTTATGCAGATAACAACATAATCATACCACAAGCCCATAAAGGTATGCCATATCGAAATCCGAGTTCATTTGACCAAGCTATGGGCTTTTAAAGATGGAAAGAAGGCCAATTTCAGTTAACCTTCGCAAAATTAAAATCAAGACACAAAAACGGTCATATTTTTTACTACCTTTAAAGTTACAAATTTTAATGCAGATAACAACAAAATCATTCCACAAGCCCATAAAGGTATGCCATATCGAAATCCGAGTCCTTTTGACCAGGTTATGGGCTTTAAAGATGGGAAGAAGGCCCATTTCAGTAAACCTTTGCAAAATTAAAATCAATGACATAAGAACGGTCATATTTTTTACTACCTTTAAAGTAATATATTTTAATGCAGATAACAACATAATCATACCACAAGCCTATAAAGGTATGCCATATCGAAATCCGACTTCATTTGACTAAGTTATGGGCTTTTAAAGATGTAAAAAAGGCCATTTCTGTAAACCTTCGCAAAATTAAAATCAATGACATAAAAACGATCATATTTTTTACTACCTTTAAAGTTATATATTTTTATGCAGATAAGAACATAATCATTCCACAAGCCCATAGAGGTATGCCATATCGAAATCCGAGTCCTTTTGACCAAGTTATGGGCTTTAAAGATGGGAAGAAGGCCCATTTCAGTAAACCTTTGCAAAATTAAAATCAATGACATAAAAACGGTCATATTTTTTACTACCTTTAAAGTAATATATTTTAATGCAGATAACAACATAATCATACCACAAGCCCATAAAGGTATGCCATATCGAAATCCGAGTTCATTTGACCAAGTTATGGGCTTTAAAGATGGAAAGAAGGCCAATTTCAGTTAACCTTCGCAAAATTAAAATCAAGACATAAAAACGGTCATATTTTTTACTACCTTTAAAGTTATAAATTTTAATGCAGATAACAACATAATCATTCCACAAGCCCATAAAGGTATGCCATATCGAAATCCGACTTCATTTGACTAAGTTATGGGCTTTTAAAGATGTAAAGAAGTCCCATTTCTGTAAACCTTCGCAAAATTAAAATCAATGACATAAAAACGGTCATATTTTTTACTACCTTTAAAGTTATATATTTTAATACAGATAACAACAAAATCATCCAACAAGCCCGTAAAGGTATGCCATATCAAAATCCAAGTTCATTTGACCAGGCTATGGGCTTTTAAAGATGGAAATAAGGCCCATTTCAGTAAACCTTCGCAAAATTAAAATCAATGACATAAAAACGGTCATATTTTTTACTACCTTTAAAGTTAATTAAATGTAGATAACAACATAATCATTCCACAAGCCCATAAAGGTATGCCATATCGAAATCCGAGTTCATTTGACCAAGTTATGGGCTTTTGAAGATGGATAGAAGGTCAATTTCAGTTAACCTTCGCAAAATTAAAATCAAGACATAAAAACGGTCATATTTTGTACTAGCTTTAAAGATATATATTTTAATGCAGATAACAACATAATCATTCCACAAGCCCATAAAAGTATGCCATATCGAAATCCGACTTCATTTGAGTAAGTTATGGGATTTTAAAGATGTAAAGAAGGCCCATTTCTGTAAACCTTCGCAAAATTAAAATCAATGACATAAAAACGGTCATATTTTTTACTACCTTTAAAGTTTTATATTTTAATGCAGATAACAACATAATCATTCCACAAGCCCATAGAGGTATGCCATATCGAAATCCGAGTCCTTTTGACCAAGTTATGGGCTTTTAAAGATGGATAGAAGGCCCATTTCAGTAAACCTTCGCAAAATTAAAATCAATGACAAAAAAACGGTCACATATTTTTAATACCTTTAAAGTTATATATTTTAATACAGATTACTACAAAATCATTCCACAAGCACATAAAGGCATGCCATATCGAGATTGGAGTTCATTTGACCAAGTTATGGCCCATGTCAAAAAATCTTCGCAAAATTAAAATCAATGACATAAAAACCGTCATATTTTTTACTACATTTAAAGTTATATATTTTAATGCAGATAACAACATAATCATTCCACAAGCCTATAAAGGTATGCCATATCGAAATCCGACTTCATTTGACCAAGTTATGGGCTTTTAAAGATGGAAAGAAGCCATTTCAGTTAACCTTCGCAAAATTAAAATCAAGACATAAAAACGGTCATATTTTTTACTACCTTTAAAGTTATAAATTTTAATGCAGATAACAACATAATCATTCCACAAGCCCATAAAGGTATGCCATATCGAAATCCGACTTCATTTGACTAAGTTATGGGCTTTTAAAGATGTAAAGAAGTCCCATTTCTGTAAACCTTCGCAAAATTAAAATCAATGACATAAAAACGGTCATATTTTTTACTACCTTTAAAGTTATATATTTTAATACAGATATCAACAAAATCATCCAACAAGCCCGTAAAGGTATGCCATATCAAAATCCAAGTTCATTTGACCAGGCTATGGGCTTTTAAAGATGGAAATAAGGTCCATTTCAGTAAACCTTCGCAAAATTAAAATCAATGACATAAAAACGGTCATATTTTTTACTACCTTTAAAGTTACTTAAATGTAGATAACAACATAATCATTCCACAAGCCCATAAAGGTATGCCATATCGAAATCCGAGTTCATTTGACCAAGTTATGGGCTTTTGAAGATGGAAAGAAGGTCAATTTCAGTTAACCTTCGCAAAATTAAAATCAAGACATAAAAACGGTCATATTTTTTACTAGCTTTAAAGATATATATTTTAATGCAGATAACAACATAATCATTCCACAAGCCATAAAAGTATGCCATATCGAAATCCGACTTCATTTGAGTAAGTTATGGGATTTTAAAGATGTAAAGAAGGCCCATTTCTGTAAACCTTCGCAAAATTAAAATCAATGACATAAAAACGGTGTAGTAGGATAAGTGTCTTGTATATATTTAAGTATAACTCTTTGTTGTAAATGTATATCAACAAGTATTTGAATGTAACGGCTAGCTGTTTAATAGTCGTTAGCATCTAAAGTATCTCCTGTTGTAAAGTGGCCAACCTGGCAACTCTAAAATGTTAAGTATCGATATTGATCGCAGCCAACTTCACGTAATCGTATGTAAAACCGACGCTATGTAAAACCAGCCAATTGCGAACAAGAAGTGAAGGAGAACAGTTCAGTGTAATAAAGTGTTTAATAAGTATAGCAGTTTATACTACTATAAACTTCAGAAGTGGTTCTGACCCATAAAATGGATCTAATTGATGTCCAAAAGTTCACGGTCGTCCAGCTCAAAAGGTGGTTGGCGGCATTAAACTTGCCGACGATCAGCAATAAGGCCGAACTGGCGGCACGACTAAATGGCTTGGACCCGCTAGTTCGTGGAACTCGCCCGGAGTCCCCACTGCCGCAGTACGCTGACAACGAGCTCCTGGCTGATCGGGCTCAGGAGTTAGAGCCGGAAGATGACTTGGGGGAGGATTTCTCTGCTGAGGATGCCAACCCTAGGTCGGAACTGATTCCTGCAGCGGCTTCAAGGCCCAAGGGAGACGAGTGGTTTGCTGTAGCCGAAGGAGTGTTGTCGCTACAACAAATACGCGCTGAAATCCAAGCTGGTAAGAAGGAGCTCCAGAACATTCTTGCACAAGTAAGAGCCGCGTCGCAAGCAGTTGGCAATGACGTCATCAACATGGCCGAAAACTGCAACCAAGCAGTGAGCAGCGAGGGAGTAAAGCGAGCAGTGCAAGGCGAAAACTTCGAGGAAGCAGTTGGCGGAAAAATACCAAGCACCGATGGAAGTGCTGATATCGATAGCGAAACCGATATCGATGTAAGAAACGGTGTTGAGCAACAACGAGTGGCAGTTGTAAACAAAGGACTAGAAGCGCCAAATATGTCACTTTCATTTGCCAAGGAAATCATCATGGATTTTGATGGATCTTCTTGTGCAAACATTTGGACCCAGCAAGTACGCAACATTGCTGAAATGTACAACCTGGATGCAGTGGGCATGAAGATGGTGATTGTGTCCAAACTGAAGGGTGTCGCTCAGCGCTGGTTGCATGCAAATGCAACGCGTATTATGGAGCCGGCAGAGAATCTTTTGGAACAGCTGATATTAGCATTCGGCGATAAGCTTTCAAAAGCAGAGGCACGACGCAAATTTGAAGATTTAAAGTGGCATCATTCCGAAAAGTTCGCGGTGTATTTTGAGGCAAAGACAATGCTAGCCAGCAGCATCAACATCGAACCGGACGAATTGGTTGATCAGATAGTCGAGGGAATACCAGCACAGAATTTGCGTGATCAAGCCCGGATCCAATGCTTCACAGATCCGATGCAAATTCTCCGTGCGTTTGCTGGTATCCGTTTGGACAAGCCAAAGGAGTTGGTGTCGAAGGAGCTGAACAGGAATAGGAGCGACAACGGAGGATTCCGCTGCGGTAATTGCAACGCCAGAGGACACATCGCTAAGGATTGTCGAAAGCCAGCAAGGGTGCCAGGATCCTGCTATGCTTGTGGCAAGTTCGGCCACTTCGTAGCCCAATGCGAGGAAAGGAAGGGAAATGCTAAAAATAAATATGTAAGGTGTATTAAAATTTATTTTGACAATCAAATTATATCTCCTATGGTTACAGCATGCATCTCAGACTCTGGCAGTCCAATTTCATTGATTAAATTATCTTTGTTGCCCAGGGAGGCCAAACTACATGAAGTTAAAGAACATTATTTTGGTATAAATAGAAGCCCATTACAAATCTATGGAAAAATTTTATGTTTTGTATTAAAAGAAAAAATAAAATGTTACTTCAATTTAACAGTTGTTGCCAATGAGTCTATGATGTATGATGTGGTTTTGGGTAGAAATTTCATGGATGCTTGCGATTTAAATTTAGATTTAAGAACTTTAAAGATGATAACTGTAGAAGATATATCAAAACATAACCCGACGAGTGCTACTAGTGATCTGTCGTTGCGCATTGCTGAAGTAAATCATAATATTGAGTGTTTAGATGACTATATAACCGAGAATGTTTTGGAATTGGCGACTGAAGCTGTAAAAGCGGAACATGCAGTCGTGAAAGATCATAATAAAAGAATAGGTCACAGGGCGATGATACAAAACAATGAAACAACGAGTCAAACAGTTACGAGACGAAACAATGAAACAATGAGTCAAACAGTTACGGGACGAAACAGTAAAACAATGAGTCAAACAGTTACGGGACGAAATAGTGAAAATGACGGTCAAACAGTTACGAGACGAAATAGTGGAAATATCGGTCAGACAGTTATGAGACTTAACAATGAAAAAACGGAATGTACAAATGTAAACAGGCAACTGGAAATTGACAATTTTGAAACCGAAATACTTAATATCGACTGTACAAACAACGAAACGATTGAATTTAACTGGGACAAAAGCACTACTTATCAAATACAATGTCGTTTCTTGAAAATAATTGAAAACAGTTATGTAAAAGCAACTAGACCTGAAAGGCCAATGATTAGAGCAGAAATGAAGCTATGCCTAGATAATGCAAAACCTTTCAGTTGTAGTCCTCGACGATTATCATATACAGAAAAGGATAAGCTTCAAAAATTACTAGACGAATATTTGAAAAGCGATATAATAAGACCAAGCGAATCAGAATTTGCATCTCCGATAGTATTAGTCAAGAAGAAAACAGGTGAAATTAGATTATGCATTGATTATAGGAAACTTAACAAAGCACTGCTAAAAGATAACTACCCACTGCCACACATCGATGATTTATTAGATAAATTAGTTGACAAAAAATTATTATCGAAGTTAGATCTTAAAAATGGATATTTTCATGTTTTTGTACATGAAGAATCTGTCAAATATACTTCATTCGTGACTCCACTAGGACAATTTGAATTTTTAAGAATGCCAATGGGTATCAAAAACGCACCGGCTGTTTTTCAACGCTTTGTTAATAAAATTTTTGATGACATGATTAGAAACAACAAAGTAGTAGTGTACATGGATGATATAATGGTCGCCAGCAAAGATATTAATGAGCATTTGGAAACATTAGAAGAAATTTTTAAAAGGCTTACACAGAACAGATTAGAACTTAGAATGGATAAATGTGAGTTTTTAAAATCAAATATAAAGTATTTAGGATTTTTGATTTCCGAGAATGGCATCAGGGCAGACGATAAGGGCATTGAAGCCGTAAAAAATTTTCCAGTTCCCTCCAAGGTACAGGCAGTACAAAGTTTTTTGGGACTTTCTTCATATTTTCGAAGGTTTATAAAGGATTTCTCTACAATAGCAAAACCTTTGTACGACCTGTTAAGGAAAGACAAACCATTTCAATTTGGTGAAGTAGAGATGAATTGTTTTCTCAGTCTAAAGGAAAAACTTATTGAGTCACCAGTACTAGCGTTATATAATTACAAAGACGATACAGAATTACATTGTGACGCCAGCGCTCTGGGATTTGGTGCAGTACTGTTACAAAAGAAAGATGATGGCAAGTTACACCCTGTATTCTATTTCTCTAAGCGTACTACAGCAGATGAGGCTAAATTACATAGTGTTGAACTCGAGACTTTAGCGGTTATTTATGCTCTTCGTAGATTTAGGATATATTTGCAAGGAAAGCATGTGAGACTAGTAACCGACTGTATTGCACTTAAGTTAACACTTAATAAGGCAGAACTTAATCCGAAGATATCGAGATGGGCCTTGGAGATGGAAAACTATGATCTTGAGATATGTCACAGGGCTGGAAACAAAATGCAACATGTGGATGCTCTCAGCAGGTATAATAATATTCTAATAGTAGAAACCAACAGTTTTGAAGAAAATTTAGTCATTTGTCAAGGAAAAGATTTAAGAATTAAGAAGCTTAAAACCGTTTTAGAGAAAGCAGAACTTAAATTATTTGAAATGAGAAATGGTGTAGTGTACAGAAAAGCAAATGGCAATAGAATACTGTTTTACGTGCCAGAAGAAATGGAAAATCAGGTACTATATAAATATCATAACGAAATAGGACATGTAGGAAGAGATAAAATGATGGACATAATTTCAAAAACGTATTGGTTTCCAAGCTTGAAAGAAAAGTGTGTTGCGCATATAGAAAATTGTTTAAAATGTGTAGCGTTTTCACCAAAATCAGGTAAAGGAGAAGGTTTTTTGAACAGTATTCCCAAGGGAAGCAAACCATTCGAGTTAATACACATTGATCATTATGGTCCAGTAGACTCATCGAGAGCAAAAAAGCATATTTTTGTGGTAGTCGACGGATTTACGAAATTTGTAAGACTCTATTCAACTAAATCAACAAGTACTAGGGAGGTAATAACGGCATTAAAAGATTACTTTAGGGCATACAGTCGTCCAAAATGTATAGTTTCAGACCGCGGTAGTTGTTTTACGTCTAAGGACTTCGAAGAATTCATGGAAGAGTATAATGTGAAGCATATCAAGATAGCCACAGGCTCACCTCAGGCAAATGGTCAAGTCGAAAGGATTAACAGGAGCCTTGGACCAATGATAGCAAAATTAGTTGATCAAAGTAAAGGTGTATACTGGGACAATGTTATAAATAAAATAGAACATGCTCTTAATAATACGTTGCACAGAAGTATAAGACAACTTCCGAGTAAAATGCTGTTTGGAGTAGAACAAAAAGGAAAGATTGTTGATGAACTTAAGGAAAAGCTAGAGGACATAAATGAAAATACAAAATTAGATAGTTTAGCACAAATAAGAAAAAAAGCTGCGACCCACCAAAAACAAGTTCAAGATTATAACGAAAAATTTATAATAAAAGACGTGTAAAGGCTAAAGGGTATAAAAAAGGAGACTATGTAATGGTGAAGAATTTTGACTCGACTGTTGGGACTGCTAGGAAACTGATTCCCAAACATAAGGGACCATATGTGATTGCAAAAGCGATGCGCAATGACAGGTTTTTATTAAAAGACGTCGAAGGGTTTCAATTAGCACGAAGTCCTTATCTAGGTGTTTGGAGTGCCCAAAATTTAAGACATTGGATAAAGAATAAAAATAAAAGTAAAAAACAAAAAAAAAAATAAAAATGTAAAGTATAACAAGAAATGAAACTTATGTAACCATAACCATAACCATAGATATAATAAGCATAACTTTTAAATCAATATATCTTGATCAGGTGATCAACCAGTCAGGATGGCCGAATTGTAGTAGGATAAGTGTCTTGTATATATTTGAGTATAACTCTTTGTTGTAAATGTATATCAACAAGTATTTGAATGTAACGGCTAGCTGTTTAATAGTCGTTAGCATCTAAAGTATCTCCTGTTGTAAAGTGGCCAACCTGGCAACTCTAAAATGTTAAGTATCGATATTGATCGCAGCCAACTTCACGTAATCGTATGTAAAACCGACGCTATGTAAAACCAGCCAATTGCGAACAAGAAGTGAAGGAGAACAGTTCAGTGTAATAAAGTGTTTAATAAGTATAGCAGTTTATACTACTATAACGGTCATATTTTTTACTACCTTTAAAGTTATATATTTTAATGCAGATAACAACATAATCATTCCACAAGCCCATAGAGGTATGCCATATCGAAATCCGAGTCCTTTTGACCAAGTTATGGGCTTTTAAAGATGGATAGAAGGCCCATTTCAGTAAACCTTCGCAAAATTAAAATCAATGACAAAAAAACGGTCACATATTTTTAATACCTTTAAAGTTATATATTTTAATACAGATTACTACAAAATCATTCCACAAGCACATAAAGGTATGCCATATCGAGATTCGAGTTCATTTGACCAAGCTATGGGCTTTTAAAGAAGGAAAGAAGGCCCGTGTCAAAAAATCTTCGCAAAATTAAAATCAATGACATAAAAACCGTCATATTTTTTACTACATTTAAAGTTATATATTTTAATGCAGATAACAACATAATCATTCCACAAGCCCATAAAGGTATGCCATATCGAAATCCAAGTCCTTTTTAAAGATGTAAAGAAGACAATTACATGGATATGGTCATATTTTTTACTACCTTTAAAGTTATACATTTTAATACAGATTACAACAAAATCATACACAAGCCCATAAAGGTATGCCATATCGAGATCCGAGTTCATTTGACCAAGTTAAGGGCTTTTAAAGATGGAAAGAAGGCCCATTTCAGTAAACCTTCGCAAAATTTAAATCAATGACATAAAAATGGTCATATTTTTTACTACCTTTAAAGTTATATATTTTAATACAGATTACTACAAAATCATTCCACAAGCACATAAAGGTATGCCATATCGAGACTCGAGTTTATTTGACCAAGTTATGGGCTTTTAAAGAAGGAAAGAAGGCCCATGTCAAAAAATCTTCGCAAAATTAAAATCAATGACATGAAAACCGTCATATTTTTTACTACATTTAAAGTTATATATGTAGGGGTAAAACGTATTCCCCTGAAGTTAAACACCAACACAAATCTGTACTTCTAGTCTTTTCTTTTATTTTATAATGTGGTATGTTCAGGATCACGGTCGGCGTTCAACTGCCCTCGCTCTCAGCTCACGATCCGCATCAACCCCCGATTCATTGAGAGAGTGATGAAATCGAGAGAGAGAGTTAGAGCACAGTGAGCGGCATCGTACAACAACAACAACTTATTCTTAGAACTTACACGAATGATCTAGAAGGAATACAATAACATACACATACATACATACTATGACGTAGCAATCCTGCTACAATTCGGCCGTCCTGACATTTTAAGA